TGTTGCAATCTCTATGGTGGTGTGATCTTTGACCTACTTTGTTGTCACCTGTCATATTTTATTTTTTACTTACACGCACTGTGCAAAATGTTAGCTCGCTCCTCACGCATCCTTTCTTCCCCGCAGCTACAACGCCCGTCGGCTGCAGGAGTTACCCTTCGTCTCCCACGCCGTCAACGGCTCCATCAAGCAAGACTACCTGCTGGACCTGGCCTGGGTGTACGACAAGGTGTGCGGGGCGGACGTGTTCCAGGTAGGTAGACGCAGCCGCTCCCCAGTCGGCAGTTAGGGATCGTCCAGAGAGAGAGTGCGTCCGTTTTTCTCTTATTCATTCGGCGCCTGCGAGACTCAGGGTAGGCCAGCCCGCAGTACCCGCATGCATTGTGGGGAAGATGTTGCCTTCCTACCAGGCGCTCTGAGAGCTTGCAGAGCCGTAATGGCGAACGACGGACGTACTTTCTGGATTATCCCCCGGCCACGTGACCTCACTCCTTTCTCATGTACGACCAGGTGCTGGAGGACATTGCGCTGGAGCGCTCCAACGACGCGGACGTGCAGTGGCTGGCGAAGGCCCTGCGGGAGGCGGCGCCGGCGCTGGCCTTCGACGGCCGCCAACTCCACTCGCAGCTGTTCGCCCGCCTGACGCAGGACTTCCCCGCGGCGTCGCCGCCCCCAGCCGCCGAGCCCGGGGCCGCCCCCGTCGCCCCGGAGCCCAGCGAGTACGTCGCCGTGCCCGAGGGTCGCGCGCTGCTCCGCGCCGCCCTGGCCGCCTGCGTGGCGCCGCCGGCCCCGGCGCTGCTGCCGCTGCCCGCCAAGGTGCCAGACGACGTCCCGGATAGACTCGACCTGATCGTCCGCATCCGCGACTACCCGGACTACGTTGTGGCCGTTTCCACCGCCAAAGAGGAGATCGCCGTGTGGGACATCGTCCGGTGCGAGCGCGTGCGGGTGCTCCGGGGGGTGCCGCAGCCGCTCAGCCTGCAGGTCGTGGACTCGCACCGGTGCATCGTGCTCTGCCAGCGGGAGCTCCGCATCTACGACCTGGACTCGTGCTCGCTGCTCGCCAAGCTGAAGGGTGTCATGAACCAGAAGATGCCCTACTACGGCTTGCACGACCAGTCGCACCTCGTGGCCCTCTCCAGGAACAGGTATTTCGCCCGCAAAAGTCATGCATATGTAAACAAAAAGCAAAACAAACAGGATAAAGACACTCATTGCAAATGCTGTTGTGTTTTGTCCAGGATGTATGTCAATTTGATGAACCTGGACTCCGGCGACTGTGTAACGACGTTCAAGGCGGGAGAAGATCGTTTCCTCAACTCCCTGTTGGTTTCTGGAGACGGACGGTAAGCATCAGACAAAACTCTTCATTTCCGCTTCGCTTCGCTTGACGCTCCTCGCTTGCCTGGCCTGGCCGTTTTCCTGACTCGTGACTGATTGCAGGGTGCTGGTCTGTGGCGACGAGACCCAGAAGCCCTTCCCTCTTCTCGTGTGGAACCTTGCCTCCCGCAAGCTACTCTACGACCTCCGCATCCCGCACCACGACTTCGTCACCTCTCTCGCGGCCATCACCCACGAGGGGCACTACGTGTGCTGCGTGGCGCAGGTCAGTGACGGCTCAAAACGTCGCAGTATTGGCGTCTTTGGTTTAACTTCGTCACGAGATCTGTCGAGAAACTGCAGGGTGGCGCATGGGCACCGGAACATTATGTACTTTCACTGCTCCTCATGTTTGGAAAAGTTGCCCCCTTGTTCGGGTCCATAAGGCACGGCGACTAGAGGCTGTAGACAAAACCGCTCGCACTCATGGATGTGCTTCAGTATAATTACAAAATGTCCCGGAGCCAGTGAGCCGCAGCTTCAGGTTCAGGTATCATAGGCGCCGTTCTCTCCACTGGTTATACTGTACCGGAAGCAGGCGCGCGGACAAGTTGCATACTCGCAAGG